TGGAAAAAAAGAAAAAAGGAATAGAAATGTTAATGAACATTGTACATCCTATGATAACTCAAAAGAGTGAATGAAGAGAAAATAAAAAAAAAAAAATGGAAAATGAAATGTTAATAAAAATTATACTATGATATCTGGAGAAAGTGAATGAAATGGAAAAGAAAAAAAAAATAGAAAGTGAAATGTTAATGAACATTATACATCCTATGATAACTCAAAAGAGTGAATGAAGTGGAAAAAAAGAAAAAAGGAATGGAAAGTGAAATATTAATGAACATTATACATCCTATGATAACTCGAAAGAGTGAATGAAATGGAAAAAAAGAAAAAAGGAATAGAAATGTTAATGAACATTGTACATCCTACGATAACTCAAAAGAGTGAATGAAGAGAAAATAAAAAAAAGAAATGGAAAATGAAATGTTAATAAAAATTATACTATGATATCTGGAGAGAATGAATGAAATGGAAAAGAAAAAAAAAATAGAAAGTGAAATGTTAATGAACATTATACATCCTATGATAACTCAAAAGAGTGAATGAAGTGGAAAAAAAGAAAAAAGGAATGGAAAGTGAAATATTAATGAACATTATACATCCTATGATAACTCGAAAGAGTGAATGAAATAGAAAAAAAGAAAAAAGGAATAGAAATGTTAATGAACATTGTACATCCTCCATAACTCAAGAGAGAGAATGAAGAGGAAATAAAAAAAAAAAATGAAAAATAAAATATTAACGGATTAATTTTTTGCGNTGAAATGTTAATGAACATTATACATCCTATGATAACTCGAAAGAGTGAATGAAGTGGAAAAAAAGAAAAAAGGAATAGAAATGTTAATGAACATTGTACATCCTACGATAACTCAAAAGAGAGAATGAAGAGGAAATAAAAAAAGAAAAATGAAAAATAAAATATTAATTTTTCGCATAGAATGTTGTGCGATTAAAATGTGGATGATGTGACTTGAATTGGAACAATTAATGACGGGGTATAGTGTTTGCGGAAATTTATATATATCCTTGAGATTAAATCTACGCAAGTACTTCAAATGATACTTCAACTTGAATATCGTTCAATTCATGGAAAGATCAAGTACAGTATCTCGATCGTTTAAAATTTCGGTAACGAGTCGTCTTGGAATATTTTCGTAAAATGATGGAACGATGTGTATTCGATGTTATCGATTGTTAGGAGGGATGGTCCCAAGTAATTGGGCGCTATTAACGCGAATATGTGAATCAACCGGTTCGATACTTGTACGTATCGGTAGAACGTGCGAAGCGACGAAAACGGATCGTGTGTGAAATTAGACATTCACGCGATTTGATTAGATTGGGAATGGATTAATTCGATCAAGTGGAACCTAGGATATGGGGTACGAAGTTGGCAACCTCGAGTGGAAATCAAGGGGAAAACCCTTACCTTCATAGGCGTAACGAATCGAGCATAGAGATTTCCTTCCATTTCCCTCGTACAAAACTCGCCTATCCATCCTCCGTTTATCCGATATACGCGTACGATTTTATCGATAATCTCACCTTGTATATGGAATGCAACGCGTGAGAGTTCAATTCGTATCGAAATGTAAACCAGGAGTGAAAATTTTGTTTTTCGTATCTTTCATTTCGAATTTTTTATTTAAACTTAGCTTTGTTCGAAAATTGATTCGATTTTTAAATTACAATGAGTAATATTCTGTTTGTATTACTTATGTTATTATAATAGTAACGAAGAAATTAAATTTTCGATGGATTTTCGATTTAAATATTTTTTTCGATACACGATTGACGCGAAATTGTATCTTTTATTTAATTAATTAAAGGAATTCGAGGAGAGGAAAATATTTGAGAAAATAATAATAATAATTGATTTTCTAAATTCTATTTTGCTGCTTGAATAACAAATAATATTGTAATAAGCGTATATAATAATATTAGATCAGGAATAACAATAAGTGATATTATTTTAAAAAATGTATCAATAGATGGAAATCTATTACGCGGATTGAACACGAATTCGTTAAAGGATCGTTGAAGAGGTTACGCCTATGGAGTCTCGATTCACCCTTCATCATGTAGGGTTTAAGCTAGGTCGTATTTCTACTTAGTTTCGAATAAAGATGGATCGTGGAAAACAGTATCGTCTCGATTCAACAGCCTTGGTGACTCCAGCTCTTCGCGATAATTATCTATTATACTATCGGGAGAGAACTCTGTCGCCGATTTAACAGGTCGAAACTGATCAACTTGGATTTTACAGGAACAAACTTACTCGAAACAAATCTATAAATAATTTTGAATAAATTATCGTCTTTATTCCCCTCCCCCCCCCTTCTTTATCACGGATCTGAATGTTTTAAGAAATTTGCCAAATTTATTTTTCTACAAATTAAACTATAATAATTAAATATTTCGTACGAAAAAATAAGATAAATTTATCTGTAATTAAATTAATTTTTACATTAATAGCGAGATAAATTATTTTACTCGATTTCGATGAAAATAAATTATTATATTATTATTATTATTATTCCTGATCTAATATTATACGCTTATCGCAATATTATTTGTTGTTCTCGAGCAAATTTTAAAAAATTAATTATTATTTTCTCAAATACTTTCCCCGCCTCGAATTCCTTCAACTGATTAATCAAATAAAAGATACAACCTCGCGATTGAAATGCATCGATTAAAATAATAAAAAAATAATTACTTTTACCACGATAAAAATATAAATATATAAATAAACGTACGATTATATTCCTATCCGACATATTATAATATAAAAGAAAATTAATCGATGAATCTCCTTAAAAAAAAAAAAGAAAAAAAATTTTAAATATATATTTGCAAGAGAATATTCTAAGCAAAGAGTCAAAGACAGAGGACATTTCCAGCCAATTGTAATTTCATCCCCTGCGTTAGACAACCGAAACTTGGTAGTAGTACAGGTCAAAATGCGGGTGGTTCCTTGGAGAAAGGGCCAAAGTCCGAGATACTAAAGCTACAGTGACTCGAGAACTATTATTATCGGGAAACCATTAAGTTCTGTGGGTAACCCCGTATCCGTGACGTGGCATACGTAAGTAAGTATATATATATATATATATATATGCCGTGGAAGGAAAGGGCGAATACGAATAAAATCCAGTTTAAAAAAAATTTTTCTTTGCGAAGAATAGAATTTTTTAAAATTTTAATAAATAGAGGGTAGAAACTTTCGCGAGTCGAAATACACGTTTTCGACTTTGTTATGCACCTTTTTTTTGGTTTATCCAAAAAGAAAAAAAAAAAAAAGAAAAAAAACTTCAACTTTCGTGAAAATTTTTCAAACTCTAATGAACACAAACACAGGGTAGAAAAAACCGTATCCCCGTCTGAAACGAAATATGCATCCGACTTAGTTTATCAAAACTTCACCGTGGAACAGAAATTTTTTGAGAAACGAGTTGCATCGTGAAATAATATATTGTTGATTAAATAAATTTTTCAAATGTTAATAATAGCAAGGGTGGAAACGAGTCGAAATATGTGTCTGAGTTATACATATATATTTATATGTACATATATATACATATATGTATATTTCTTTTTTAATTTGCCAAAACCGTGAAACAAAAAATTTTTTTGAAAAATATTTTCAACGTTAATTGCAATATTATGTCGATGATATTAATTAAATTTTTCAAATTCTAAAATTGCGAAAATTCGTACGGAAATCTAACGGAAATGCGCGCGAAACGATGCAAAAAAGACGAGATATTAAAACCAAAATGAATTATTTCTTCTAGCTCTGTGTTAATAAGAATTTAAATTTGCATAAAGCATCTAGATAGCGCGGTGGTAGAAAGTTTCGCGAGTTTCGAAATATACATCTACAATTTATACTTTTTTTTCTTTCCTTTCCTTTTCTTTTTTTCTTTTTTTTTTTTTTTTTTTTCAATTTCACAGCGAAACTTCGAAACGGCGGAGAATAAAAATTCGCGAGATATCGCACCGCGATCGTTATATAATATCGTTGATGGTATTATACCGAATCTTTCGAATTCTAATAACGTAGGATAGAAAACGAGTCGGAACGTACCGTCTCACTTATTACTTTGTTGCATTATAATAATGCATCAAAGCGTATGAGAATCATGTTAGCCATTAGCTAATTAATGAAATATCCTAGCTAATTAATGAAATATCCTACAATAATACGTTCGTGCGCGGCTTAAAGCGTGAAAACGGCTCGTTTAAATCCGCTTCGAGATGGAACAACCAACTTTCCATACGTGTAAAACGTCGAATTTTCGAATAACGAGTTAACAAAGGGAGGGATATCTATTCCAAAAACCGATGTTATTATGATAATAGGTATAATATGATAAATAGAAAAAAGATATTTAATTATTTAAAATTATTGACGACAAAAAGAAAAAAGGAAAATAATATGAAAATTAATAAAAGAAAAAAAAAATACGTTATCTTCCCAAACTGAAATCGTTAGAAAAAAAAAAAAAGAAAAAATCGAAAAAAATCCTAGATAAACTCTGTACAATAAAAATAAAAAGAACCAATTAATTAAATTAACTTTAACCACATATTAATAACATTTGTAATAACATTTTCACAATTGTTATTACGACACTTTTAATTCTCACAAATCACGTTTAAAATTAGCACAAGTGGCCTACAACTTACGATGGAGCTACTACTTCTAAAATGAAACTGAAGTTCTAAGAGAGGCAGGGGATCAAGTCCTGTAACACAAAGTGAAAATCGCTTAATATGAAGTGGAACAAAGTACATGGAACACGAGTGGTTTAGCACCGGCCTCTATGATGATACCCCGTCCTGCAAGCGACAGTCCATTGTTTCACGGATAAGCCGTTTTTATTAAACCGGATGATTATTCCCGACGTCGATTCTCGGCGACAGACAGGCGGGAAAAAATCGATCGGCACGATTGCACGACGACACAAAGTCATTAAAAAGAAGCAAAAGCTTACCTCGTTCCCTGGTATCTTCGCTCCACCACATCCAGCATCCTTGATACTACTCTATCGGACCTCTGATGGATGGTTCCGGCCCATCGTTGAATGGTCCTCTTGGTAATCTTTCGATAGTCGGAGTACGAATATATTTGAAAGTAAAATTCTAAGTTAAGTTACTCTGAATAATATTCTTCGCAGCAAACATCTCTCAGAGAGAAAGAGAAAGAGAAAGAGAGAGAGAGCAACTCGCAAAAGTTCTCGATTTTAAGTTAGGAATCGTACTTTCGATTAATAATTTCTTCTCGCGAAAAATATTCTCGATTTATCAAATTTCTATCCATTATAATTCTAAATTATAATTTTATATATACAATATTGAGAGTGAAACTAGCGGATAATAGTTTTCGCGAAGTAAGAAGAGAAATTTGAGAAATTGAGAAATCGAAATTTTTAATCTCAATGCGACGTCCGTTTTCAAAAAAGTATCTCTCGATTCGACGAGAGAATTCCACTTTCGATTCGTACTCTTAAAATTATAAAAATAATTACGTTACAAAACGTACGCTTTAAAGTTACACTTTATTTTCGCGAGATCTTTCCACGTTCGAAGCCAATGTACGACTGAAACCATCTCCTCGATAACAGTATTATTATCGAAAGTTAGAAATTGTTTTTGTACAATGTTATCGTTGCGAGTCGAAAATTCCTGGAAACCGAAATTGCGGAAGTCGAAAGGTAAATACGGCTCGAGGTTACACGCATGACGCACTCGAGTAAGAATATTATAAACATATCGTATTTGGACATACCTTGGGAAGATGGAATGAATTGTTGTTACCAATGGATTATTTATAAGTGGATTCCGAGAAATTTTTTTACAGGAGAGTTTTTGTTCGCGAGCTGGTTCCATGAATCATTAGGATACGGTCGATGGATACGGGTTCTGAAAAAGTTTTGTAAGACGTAGTTGGTGTGTTTGTGTAAGTGTAAATCGAGATGTGGAAAAAAACGTAAAGTATGGTAAAATGTGTTAAAAATTGATCGAAGAATATAAATGAATTTGATAATTAAATAGAAAAGAATTAGAAAATAAGTGGGGGCTTAAAAAAATTTTAGAAATAAAAAAAAATAAATTTTTTTAACACAATATTATAATATTATTATATTTATTATTATTATATTTATTATTATATTTATAAGAATCGAATAATTAAAATAGGATTATTCGAAAATTTGAAATTGTTTTTATCTCGTAAAATAAATAACATAAAACAATACATTAATTTAAAAAATTGATTTACCTATTCAAATCCTCTAAGTCTCAAAATGAAAACACGAAAATAAAAATTTATTTAATATTTCATAAAAATACTAACCAACTATTAATCTGCAAAATCAAATTTCCATTTTAAAGAAATGGGGGGGGGAGGGAGGGGAGGCAGTATTTGATTCCATTCCCGAAATAAAATTGCAAACACGCCCCCATTCTACTAATTACAAACAACAAAGAAGAGAGGAATGTAAGGAAAGAGGAAGACAAGATATAATAAAAAAGAAAAAAAGAGAACAGTGTAGAAGGGGAGGGAGAAAGACGGCGATGAGGTGAAGAAGGGAGGCGAATAAAAGAGTGGAGGAGAAATACGGGGATGTACTTTGGCGCGGGAGTGGAAGGCAAGCCTGCGGGCAGCCAATCAAATAAAGTAGTCCGAGGTTGCTTTGCCGGATGCAAATTCGGCCCCCGTGGGCTTTCTCTTTTCCCACCCCCTTTCAACCCCCTTTTCATCCATAGTTCGTTGCGCTTCTCGCCCTCTAACCCTGCTGGAATCCGTACACGAGCTTCCGGGACACACGAAAATCCCTCCACCTAACGTTGTATATCGTTCCACTTCTCTCCTTTTTTTTTTTTTTTTTTTTTAAATCTCCGATCCGAAAGGGAGAAAGCGTTTCTTCTCCTTTCTCCTTTCGATCGAATCGATGGACGAATCGGCGTAAAGAAATCCTTTTTTTTCACGTGTTTTTTTTTTTTTTTTCGTTCTAACATAACGAAGACAATGGAATTATTGGACCATCGAAATTTTTTTTTAAATTTTCTTGGAAAAAAAAAAAAGAGTTTTTGACGAAACGAGTTTTCATTTTAATGGTAAAGACGGTCTCTGGAAATTTAAAAAAATTTTCTTTAGAATATAGAAGAAAGAATTCAACCCTTTGCGATTGAATTGAGAGAAATCGAGAAATTTTAATTTCGTTCAAAAATTCAATTGATAATCGATCAAAAATTGCAAAGAGATGAAATTATCGATATTTTTCGTAGAGTAGAAGAAAATTTTAGGAGATTTTGTCGAGGAAACAAAATTGAAATGAAATTAATAAAAATTTAGTTTGGTTACGATTTGTGATTCGAACCTTTGCTTTTAGGGGATCTGTCATCTAAATTTCAAATCGTTACATTGCTTGAAATAACTAAGAAGTTTCACTTTCATCCCTCTCATCCGGTTATAAACTCATTAAAATTCATAGACGCGGTATATTTGTACAACGTTGTGGAATTTATCCCACGATATGAAAATTCGACGTAGTTATTATTGTTAAAATACGCATTAAACTAAACAAACAGTAATAATCCAACCCTACACTCGCGTTCGTCGTCCATATTTCAACTCGTGGAACGCATAAACAGAGATCGCGAATATTCATGCGAATAAAATTTTTTTACAAAAAGCTTGAATATAATAAAATTTAGATAAAAATTTTTATCCTTATCTTTAATCTTATTCTCACCTCATAATAACAACCTCATAATAACTTGCAACATTTAAATTAATTAAATTTATTTTAATAAAAATTTTAATAAAAATCTACACAAATAAATTCTCAAACCGTAAAATTTAATCAATTGGCGAACGACCCCGATAAATTATATTATACCAAACTGCAAACACGTGCTTTAAACTCGATCCCACGCACGAAAAATCCAAACGACAGGCAATCCCCTATCGATCGAACCTTAAACTTGACCAAGGGCGTTGCCTGTGTGCGAGTTAACGCAAGGGAGAAGGCATCGAGTCACGGGTCTCGTTCCTAATTATGTCGTAATGAAAATAAATTGTTACATTTGTACGACTGTCGTGTCCCTTCCTTCCCACGCGAGATCCTCGCGAGATCCTTCCTCCTCTCCCCCCTCCTTCACCCCTTTTTCCAACGGAAAGAGAAACCGTTCCACCCCCCGACTGGAACCTCCCTTCCCGCCACGCCACCTGTTTGATTCTCTCTCCAAGGTATACACCCTCCCTATTTGTCTATTTCGGCGCTTCCACCCACCCATCCTCCCCCAGAAGCCGCGTCTTCGACAAGATTCAACCTTCGACTTGTACCCCGTTGTCTCGCTTGAACAATCAATCCCAATTTCACGGGAATCTGTTTTAAATCTTGCGCCTTCTCGTGTCTCGCGCTTTGGATCCTGGATCTGGTGGATCCTGAGCACGCTTCTCGAGCACCGTGGCCAGAGGAATTCGACCATCTGGATGGATCCATTTGTTTATGCGCGAATAACGGATTTAATCGAGATTATTATTTTTTTTAGTATGGAAGTATCTTACCTTGGATCTTGGATGAATACGTTGAAATGGCTGGAAAATAAATAAATGGAATATAAATTTGGAAAAAAAAAAAAAAAAAAAAAGAATTTTTCCATTTACGACGTTCGTCGTTTTGTTAAGGTCGGATTAAAAATTTTTCTTTTTTTTTGACAGTATATGCAAAAACCACTCGAATAATTCAACAATTATATAAATACAAAAATCACGTTAATGGGATATTACAATGTATTTGAATTGAAGAAATATTTTTACAATTTTCAAAATTTTTTAAGAATAATCAAATATGTTTAACCCATGATAAACTTTCGAAAAATACTTAAAAACTATTATTACTCGTATTCAATATTCTATACGAATATTAATCTCGTCGAATAGACGAAAGGAATTACGATTATTTCCATTAAATCTAATATATAAATGAAGGGAGAAAATTAATCAAACGCAATGACTGAGAAGCCTTTTTATACCAACGACAATAAACAAATAAAGTGCTTGAACGGTGTAACGCAAGAAAAGATCCGGATTAAGGTGTTAACCACACTGAATTGCAACACCTTTACGTTTATTTATAATATATACCAGCAAGAGCAGCAATGTTATATAATCATAATAATAATTAATCGTAGAGTGCAGTATTATGTACAACCAAACGGAAAAACTCGGACTCTTTACGTCGTAAGTAAGTTTTAGGAAAATATTTTACACAGGTGGATCGAATTTAAAACGGTTTTAAAAACAATAAACGACGATATTCTCTGTGTTCTCTTTTTCCTTCTTTTTTTTTTCTCCCCGTTTTTTTTTTTTTTCATTTCCTCCCTCTTTTCTCTCTTCTTTTCCCCTTCTATCTTACTTTACAAACCCGTTAGAACGTCTCTCGCCGACCTTTACAAAAAAATTTACAGTGTTCAAAGCGCCACGAACACCCAACATCCTTCTTTTACATGTACACGATTGAAGAAACGTTTACAGTAAAGAATAAATATATATGTATATATATATATATATATATGTATATGAATATATGTATAATATGTATATATGTGCACTAAGTATCTCTTAACAAGTTCTGTCATCAATTTTCTCATTCGCATACTCGTGCCTCGTTTCTCTATTTTATTTTTTTCACACCTTGAAAAATACATTATTACATTAACATTATTAATTATTAAAAAAAAAAAAAAAAAAAAAAAAGTTTCCTCGAGAGAGAGACGACATTCCACTGAAAAATTTCTCTCAGAGATAACAACGTGTCAAAGTGAAAACTTAGCATCGACGATAAAAGATAAAAGATATAAGTTTCGCCCCTTATTTATTCTAATTTATTTATTGTTTATTTTTTTTTCTTTTTTTTTTGTTCGTTCGTTTATCGTTTTTCCATTTTTTTTTCCTTTTTTTTCTTTTTTTTTTTTTTTGTTTTTTTCTTTTAAATCGTTAAGTCAATGCACCGTTTAATTTCCTTAAAAAGAGTGTGCCAATGTTTTCGCATCGAGCACACGCATCTAGCGTACTACAAATCCCCTTAATTTTAAACTTACATAAGCTTAAAGGATAACAATGTTGAAGAACTTGCTGCGAGATACGAAATCGGATCCTCTGGCATTCGCTTCTTTTTATACAAAATGGCGCTCGTCGTAAACAAGGATTCGCAAACATTAAGATTAATACGAGATCGTTCAGAGAGATGGTAATATATCCATTACCGTTCGTGTATGCATTTCGAGAATTCATCTTTTGATTCGATGTTCAGAGAGAGAGACACCTGGCGTCGATTCTCAATTAGCGAAGAGAACGAGGATAAATTAATCGGTTTGATCGGTTACAAGCATAATTTGTAACAAACAAAATAATTCATCACGGGTGGAAATGAATGCAAGTCGAGCTTTTCTTACCTTTATTTCGTTTTGTCAAATTGTTGAAATTGTTATTAAAATATAGCATTCATTAATTCTATCCTTTTTATCGAATTTCTTACAAATAATCTAATTTCTTACAAATAAAATTGGAAATTTGACTTTCGTTTCCTCTAAAAGAAAAAAAAAAAAAAAAAAAAAAGAGAAATTCTTGAAACGAAAGTAACATATTTGAGCAATCGTTCGATATAATTATCTACTCCTTAATATTCACAATATATATATATATATATATATTTATTATTTATATTCGCGAACAAATTCAGCGAAAATGTTAAAATGCAAAGAAAAACATAATCCAATCCAATCCAATAATAGAATATTCGTCATTTCCTCTAATATCTTCGTCAAATGAAGTGACGCCCACTCAAAGGATTAAAAAAAAAAAAAAAGAAGAAAATAAATAAATACAAAGAGAAACTAATCTTTATAATGCAAATATCGCTAGCTGTTAAAAAAAAAACGATAAACCCGTGCGTGTTTTCCATTATAACCGCTTAAAGAGTTAAATATCCTCGTTCTCTCGCGCATTCGCTCGTGCTGTCAATCGCCACGACCAACAACCCATCCGTCCAGTCGGAAGAAATCTCTTTTTACGTATCATGGAACAAGCAAACAACGGGAAAGACGGAATATTCAGCGAAGGAACTCCAACTTGTTGCGCCCCGAGGAACTCGCAATCTCTCGTTATCTATATATAGATATTTCAGATATAATTTCCCAAGAAAAAGGCGAAATAAAAAAAAAAACGTATAGCCTCTTAACTTCTCTCGATTCGAAAAAAAAAAAAAAAAATTGATCAAATCGCGAGAAACGATCGCGTTTCCCTCTAACGTCGATGTTACGTCGTGTAAGATATCTAATAATAATTTATTCCTTGCGATAAAAATCGATCATCGTTCGTTGAATCCAAGCGTTACCCGTCGCTTTACACGCGTGTCGCGTAATGATAAACTATCTCTCCGAGCATCCTTCCCAAGTTTCGCCTTTCCCTCTGACCTCGAGAAAACGATATTATATATGTGTGTATACGTATACCGCATGCGTTAACCTTCCAACAGAGGGAAGGTATTATTTCCACGCGATCTGGATCCGCGTACACGATGAAATCCAGTCACTGGTTATCCCGTTTCACCGATCCTCGCAGCTCCTGATTACTCGTTAAAACCTAACACCCGGCGTCAAACTATACCTTACGGTGCCTTCTCTGTATATATATTTCTCGCTTGAGGGATCGCCGGATGTTTTCTTTTTTTTTTTTTTTTTCTTTTCGATGACGATTTTTAATTTTGAAAATGAACCGTTAATTAGATAGAAGTGTTATGTCCATATATATATATATATATATATATGAATATAATTATATCATAATTATATTCATTATATCATAATATATTATATCATTAATATATGTATAATATATATATATGATATATATATGGTATTCGTTTCTATGTTAAAAGAATCGAGACTTTTTTTATTTTCTATAACGATTAATTATTAATCGTTCGGAAAGAATGAACGTTTAATCTTGGCCAGAAATGGTTCATTCACTTCCTGCCTTCTTGAAATTCTTGAGTACGTTCGTGTTGAAATATTATAGAGATTTTTTTTCTTTTTTTTTCAGAATCGTTCGATATCAGAATCCCGATATTATAAAATAAATCAATTCTTGGACAAAGTGTACCGACAGAGATTTTTCCCCAGAATCGTTCCAATGCCAATTTTAATCGTGAAATATACGTGGCGTGTGCTTGATTACTTATAATTCTATACATTTTCTGTATCAAATAAAAGATAATCGAGATTTTGTATTTTTTTTTTCAAAACCGATTTTTAATTATAAAATGAACGTTTAATTCCGACAGAAGTGTTAATGGTCCACGCTAAAAATGTATGGTCCATACATTTTCCTCGTTCTGAACGGAGGATCGAGATTTTTTTTTCTTCTTTTTTTTTTCTTTTTTTTCTTTTTTTTCTTTTTTTTTTNTTTTTTTTTTTTTTTTTTTTTGTAAAAACGTTTCGATCTCAATTACAAAATAAACATTTAATTCTTGCAGAAGCGTATAGTAGTCAATGTCAAAACGATAGAATTTTTTTTTTTTTTTCAAAATCATTCGATACCAATTTTAATTACAAAATATAAACGTAATCCGCCCCTTGCCCCCAGTAAAGGATCGAAATTTTTTTTTCTAAATCGTTTTTTACATCGATTACAAAACAAGTCGTTTAATTCTTGCAGAAGCGTACGATCCATGTCAAAATTACAAAAATAATTTTTTTCAAAATCGTTCGATATCGATCTCGGTTACGCAAATAATAATGGTCCGTCCACTTCCTGTCTCCATTAAAAAAAAAAAAAAAAAAAAAATCGAAATTTGTCCAGAATCATTCTCAATCAAATTACAAAATCAAATCGTTCAATTCTCGCGGAATCATCATCATACCCTCCTCTCCGTTAAACTAATAAAAATTTGTTCTCAACGCATGATCCGTTGTTACAAATTACAAAAATTTGTTCGAAATATTGTTACGACATAATTCTTGCGAAAACGTATTGTGTCTTCATTTTCATAAGTTGAAAAAAAAAAAAAAAAAAGAAAAATAAACGTATCATTCGAGCGATAAGCGTACAACGGTCCATCTTAAGCGATACTACGATTTCACTCTCACTCTCTCTCTCTCCCTCCCTCCCTCTCTCTCTCTCTCTCTTCTCTCCCTTTCCGTTTCAATTGTCTGCGAACCTCGAGGTCTTCGGCTTCAAGACGATCTATTCTCGCGGATGCACCCGCGCTGAAATGACAACCTCCCACCTCTCCTCGACTATCCGGGTGTATATGCAACTGGCATGGCTCGAGGCGTTTAATGTCCCTCTACTTGTCCTGACAGGATGTCGTTTCCTTCCGCGTCGCCTCCGTGGCCTCGATCACCTCGAACCCCTCCGTCGTCGAACTATCGGTCGATGATCCATTGTCCCCGATCTTCGAGGAGGAGACGCCAGATATCGCCACCTCCGTTTTACAATCCGATTTCCCGTCCGACGATGGTTGTTGCTCGGTGGTACCCCCTGTTGCTACGATTCAAACGAATTTTCAGCAGAGAAAAGAAGAAGGGGAGGGGGAACGAACGGATTGGTCGGAATTTTTCGGCGAAGATGGAATGATTTTTGGACGCGATCCAATGATTTGATGACGATGGAAGAAGCAGGGATAATTTTTCGACGGGGGGAAAGAGGAATGGAAAGAAATGAAGGAAACCGTGATGTCGGGTAAATTCGATGGCAGAGAGGTGTTGATGAGGAAGAGATGGTTGAGACTGGTTTATTTATCTGTTTTTGGAGAAAAAGAAAGAAGGAATGACGATCGAGGGAGGAACGTGAAAATCTTGAACAGCGCTGTGGAAGAATTAAAATGTTGCACGAAATATTTATCACAAAAATTATTTGTTGGTAACAGATGGAAATTCGAGCAATCGCGTACTATATATTAAAAATCGAAAAACATAATTTGGCAACACATGTAAAACATTATAAAAGTATCGACACAACGAATGTTTGTATTGTTGACAAGCGATGAATACATATTGACAAAAATATAAAAAAAGAAAAAATGCAATTGGAAATGAAAAACACGATATGAACATTTGTTTTAAAAAATTTGGTTTGAAATAATAAACCGTGTTCCGTATACAACGATGGAATATTCGTCCATCTCGTTTGATCTTTGCATTATTTCTCTCGAGATTCGGGTCATATCTTATCAAAATGTACATCAAAAATGTGAGTAATCGCGCGTTTTATTCGAGACTTGGAATTACGATTCGATCGAAGTATCATTTTATTTACACGAAATGAAAATGTATAATAATAGGATTAAAAATGGTGTGAAGGCGTGAACGAAGGGGATGGGGAGAGAGAAGGGGGGGGAAAAAAAAAATGTTTTCCCATTCTGCTCTGTAAGCTCTGTATCAAAAAGCAGCATATGAAAATGACGAAGTTGTAAAAACGGACGTGCAATTACAAAGTGTCTTTTATGAAAATTAATATTACACGCCGGATCAATGAAACGTGATTAAAGTGCGGTGGATATTCATTAAATTTGCACTCGGCGCTCGGAATCACGAGCAAGAAGATTCGGGGGCGAAAATTTCGATGAAAGAAAGAAAGAAAAAAAAGTCATTGCATCGACGAGTTAAATCTTTTGCCGCGACGCTAAAGGTTGGAATACCGTATGTACTTTTTTCATTTTGCAAAATTCTGGAAAGTAAAATGATTATCGAACAAAAGATTAATTTTTTTTTTTTTTTTTTTTTTTAAGGAATGCAAATACATTCGAGAATAGTAATTCTTGCGAATCGTTGTGGATACTCACGATGCAAAAAATATTCATGAAACCAACTCTCGAATATATTCGAATATATTCCTTACGAATTTCACCTCAGTTTTAATATTCACCGTCTTGTCCTCAGAGTATACGTATAAAAAAATATAAAGTATCTTTTCAAAATTACATTTTCGTAGCAACTTTTTCTTTTCCTCGTCGTAAGAATATCTAAGAAAAATATATCGATTATATATATATAAATATATAAAAATTATTCGACATGTTTGTTTCATTTTAAAAGATAATTAAAAATATATATATATTTAAACACTGTCTGATTTAAAAGTGACTCCCAGCTCCGTAATCCATGTCGACTATATTAAATCTCTAAGGCAATTGAAAGTAATAAAGCGACATCTAAGGATGATCGAAAATTGAAATTATATCGCGTAAGAATATAAAAATAAATATAATTTCGAGATACGTTGATTAATTCCAAAAGAATTCTGTATCCATTATTTTAATTCCTCAAAAAATTTAAACATAATCGGAACGTGCATAACAAGACAATCACAAGATTGGAAAAAAAAAAAACAAAACGTCAGCCAACACGAATTTCACAGACGTAAATAATTTAAAAAAAAGGGGGATAGAAAGAGAGAGAGAGAGAGAGAGAGAAACGAATACAAAGAAAATACACGCACGATAATGGAAATGGATTGAATTTGGAACAGTTTCAATCTCTCCTCAGTTACCTTCGTTACTCTGTTCCTCGTTGGTGGGCGTCGAAGATGGTGTCGCCGCCGCGACACGTTCCTCCGCGTTGGGAGGGTTGGTCGAGTCGGATCCGGGTTGTTGCAACGGGGCCGACGGGGTTGGTTGCTGCTGGGCCGGATTCTCGGTGGCGACCGCCGACTCTCTGGCAGGTGAGGGCTCAGGTGTTGGCTCGGTACTGGTCAACGCCCGATTCGAAATGGGTGAAGGTTGCTCGGGCGAGGGTTGCTCCGCCATACCGGCCTGTGCGTGATTTCGGAACAGGAGGTGCTGTAATTGGGCCTGCTGCAGGATCACGGGCAACTCGTAGTGATGGAAGAAGTATAGCATCGAGTGCTGAAACGTTGAATAAATATACAATGGTTATTTACTTTTTATATATTTTTAAGAGAGTGGTATTCTTCTTCCATTCCAGGGAATTAAAAATTTTCTTGTTGTTGAAACGCTCGGAAGTTTATTACTTTTATTAGTTTTTAAATATAAGTTTCGATTAATTTTTTTTTTTTCGAAAGAAGAAGTAAGAAATTTCTCTGTGTTTCGATATATAAACACGAAAGAATAAAGCAATTCAATTTAATATAGATCCGTTCCACTTTCATTTCGACAATTAAGAAATAACAAAGATTGTTAAAAATGCGCGTGTTTCGATATACATTGTCCTCTGTTATCAAATTAAAGCGATTTTTTTTTTTTATAATCAAATCAACAACTTAAAGAACTTCACAATTGCGTATCCAGTTTTAAAAGTATGGACACGTGCAACATTTGGTGGGAAAAAATATACACGGAACGAGAGCATTCGACGAGCGTAATCCACTTTCCCACTCGAAATTTCCCTTTCGATAATACCTCGATTAATAATCACATTCGGTATCATTGATTCAGGAAGCTATATTAAAACGATCGTACTTAGTTTGCGGAATTTGTAGCGCCATCGAGAGTGTTAGATGGGACACAGGCACGAGGCACACAGCTCCTCGTGCGTGATATCGCTTGTTCGAAAAGCGTAGGCGTGTGTGTGTGTGTGTGTGTGTGTGTCGCTTCTGTCCAGCAAATTTATATGGAAATTCGCCAAATTTGTTCTATACCGTTTCTCTCGTTCCTCTCTCGCTCTCGCTCGCTCTCTCTCTCTCTCTTTCTCACTCGTCCACACATCGATCCGCAATACCCCTCTTATTCACCCCGTAGTTGCAAACATTCCGCGCGTGCATTCATATGGTATGAATAATTTCGCGTTATGGTAGGACAAATAAGAAAATTTCCACGGGTACAATGACGCAAGATTGGCTATTTTCGGCCGATCGAAATTCAACCCCACGAAATATTAATGAAACTTGTCGAATTGAAATTGGCGGAGAAGGATACGTTGATTGAGAATCTCTCGCGATGATTATTGATGAGGTGTTTCGATCGGGTTATTCGGGATAATTCGCTCTTGGAATCGCGTTTGAATATAATCTTTTTCGGGGAGGGGAATAAGAAAAATTGGAGGAAAATTATGGAAAATTTTGGAAATTGTGATAGAGTTCTAAGAGGAGTAGTAATTTCGAGAAGGTGATTATATTAAAGTGATAATTCTCACGAAATTTTACTTTGTATATTTTCCAAATTTGTGATAATTTATTTCACGATAAAATCGTAGTGAAGAATTTGGCAAAACGAGTCAAAAGTGTTATTTTTTTTTTTTGTACTCTTGATTAAAATTTTAAGAAAATTTATAAATTCAATTGTAATTCATAATAAAGAGGAAAATAATTGGAAACGCGATTGTTAAATTTATTTTTCTGCACTTAACGAGATTTAAAAAGACCTTCAGATTAGTCGATTTATCTTAAATGGAATTTATTTTAAGTTCAATAACCGATTCGATTTGTCACGTAATCGAGATAATCGTGAAAATAACAACGTTTCGAGTATTACTTATTACTAAAAATGGCAATGCTTTAATTGCTGACAAAAGATTACATCACAATCGCATTCGTACTCGAAATTTTCCTAAAAAGGAAATCATAATTAATTACGCCGTATTTTCAAATTAAATAATTAATAAGAGTCTCGATAAACGATAATTTTTATATTTAAAATCAAAACTCTCGTCATATTTTTTTTTCAACGATCCAAATTCATTATTCAAACCAGATTACCTTAATTTACTCGTGAAACACTTTTTGGAGAACGAATTTTAGAACGATATACAACAAAAATTCTTACACAAAACTTGCTCGAATATTTACAAGGAACAACATTCGAATATGACAGAAATATCGAAATCGAGATCTGCTTCGATAGAATTTGCGCTTCAGGCGACACGAAAATCCTGAACAACTCCTCCTCCTCCGAAACGGAATCTCACCAATCATAAAATGATGCAAACCGATGCAGAATCCAAAGAAAAAAAACAAAGAACAGTTAAAAGGAACGAGCCTGGTCGAACATGGAAAATGGATATCTCGAGACCGTGGGAGCACCTGTCGCCGACACGAAGGAAATAGTATCCAGAGTGACTCGATTCGGTATAACGAAACGAATCTGCATCGTTTTCGTGAAAGAAAGAAAGAAAGGAAAAAAAAACAACAACGATAGCAGCGGATAGGGTAAACCTGAACGGGGGAGGGAGGCAGGAGAAAGGATGGTCAGAGGTTAAAACACGATATCCAGGGTGAAACGGGTTACCGAGGAAACCGGATTTTCGTTTGGTGGATAATCAACGCCGATGACATCGATATCGACCCCCCGCATATAATCACGCCGCGGGGCTAATCGCCTCGACTCTCTCACCTATATACACAGAAAAGAAGGGAGCCAGTGGACGAGGCGAAGAGAGAGAGAGAGAGAGAGAGAGAGAGAGGAGGAAGTCGAAACGATTCGAGTCTAGCCGATCGTGTCTCGTTGCCCTCCGGGTTTTCGAATTTTCCTCTGACCTCTCTATTCATAAACTCGTTCCCGGGGAAATAATTGTCTGATCGTTGCTTGGCCGGATGGCTGTTCTTGTTAACGAACACCCCCGGTTCAACTATCGGCCGATGTTAATCGCGACTAGGACAGGAGTAAGTAACTTAATTTCAACGCTCGAGGAATATTATTGGACCGGTGGCACCTGATGTAGGGTAGTGGTCATTGAATATAACGGTGTAGAGGATGGAAATTATGGAGGAGAGGTGTATATGCTTTTGGAAAAGTGATTTCTTTTTTCTCTCTCTCTTTTCTTCTTGGATTTCTTTTTTTTTTTTTTTTTGAGATTCGGGTTTTAGAGACGAAATAATTCTACAGTGTCGATATTTAGTTTATTGAGGTAATTAGATTTTGCAATTTGGTAGTAGTGAAAATGTATGGGGATTTTTGGATTCGTTTTCCCTTCGAGATGCAATAGTTTTAGTTACATGAGAAGTAATCGTGGGATATTACGTTATGTTATTTAATATTTTGTGTAGTAATTAATTAAATTCAAGTATTAAATTTTCTGTTCTAATTTGATATCTTTATATGATGTTATAATATATATATATAGAACATGGAATATAGAAAATTATTAAAAGAAAGTATATGTATTTTTGAAAAAGTGATGAATTTTCCAAAAATTCTTTTAAATTTCTTTTTCGACGATTTAAAATTTGATTCGTTTAATGTGAATATTATTATCATTATAATTATTATTCGTATTATTAGCATTTAGATAGTAATTAATTACGTACAAGTATTAAGTTTCGTGAAATTTAGTATTACTTCCGATACGATAACGAAATGTAGAAGAGTGGATTGAGATCGTGATATTCGTACAGATATTCGATGAATTATTACCGAAATGAGTAATAATCCAGCAAACGGAGATATTTTCAATAATAAAAAGAAAGATGTGAATAGAGTAAACTCGGATATCGATCGAAACGATATTCAATCGAAGCTTCTATCTCATCGACGTAATTTCATCACATACAATTTTCAAATGCATCTAATAATCTTCAACTATCCCTCAGCTGTAATAAGCAAGAAATATATATATATATATATATATACAGAGTACAATTTTTCCAGATATTTCTTTCAACCGATTTAAACAATTTTTAATTACACAGTCAAATTAAAACACGAAGGATCGATTATTATTATCTCCTTCGAATATTTCCATATACCGTGAGCAAATTGCAAATTCCATTCTACTTTTAATACGCGACGGTACGATAAAACGAAATACGTTATATTCCTTTTGTGATCGAAATACAACAAGCCGAATCTGTTATTCATTCGGTATCTTTTATCGGCTAATTAGCCGGCCCATTACACTTTAATGGTATTTAATTTTTCCACGCAAAATATATATACAGTGCATACCGAACTCGGTTATTAACGCAACACCTAGCTATCGTAACGCCATTATAATAATAACTGTTAATACCGTCCCGATCATCTAATTATGATTCATTATCAAGCTACGCTATCGAATCAGATTATCCGGAATATATAATTCGTTTCGAGGGTAAAAATCGGCTTCGAACAACGAGATTTGTACGGGAATACGTCTATTCTTTTAGGAGAAACTGTATTATAAAATGTACATCGATTGCAAGGAGATGCTTTACCTTCGTTGTATATATATATATATGTAATCGAAGATATTATAAAATTATGTATCCCCTTTGAACGATATTTATAAGAATGATATCAAAGTGTTGGGTGACAATAACAGTTGGAATGGGATATTAAAGAGAATTAAATATAATATTTTAATAAATTAACGATAAAATTCGATACAAGATAATAAATTCTTAATAAATTCTTTTATAATTTTCTAATTTTTCTAATATATAGTAAATGTAAAAAATAACGAAAAAGAAACTTTTGATAAAGAAGTGACAAAAGTGGAATTTTAAGTACGAATGAAAAATATGAAAGAGGTATCGTAATTACAAAAGAAAGATATGTCTAGATATGTCTAGATCGAGATAATATCCGAGGGAAAAAGAGGTTGCACGAGAAAAAGTGAGGGCAAATGGTATTTATGTCCGCTCATTGAAATCCCAAGTTGGCATTAAATTATTCTGATCGATTGAACTGTCAAGTGCATTGTCCTGGTCGCGTTTACGTAACTTAAGTTTGAGCGATGGCCGGGTCTAGTCTGCAAACCAGCCTCTTCATTCGCTACCGTTACTGTCAATAGCAGAACTTTCACCAGAAGCCACTTACAGGAATTCCACGTAAAATATTCTCCCTTTTCTTTTCGTATCCTTCGACTCGAAATGACTCTCTTCGAATAACTAATTATCTTTAACTTTACCTATATCGTAATCTTTCGTATGATGGGCTCAAACAATGAAGCCTAAAAATCCAATTCCTAATATTGCATAAATTATTCCTAAATTTCCAAAAATTTCTTTTTTTCCTCTTTCATTTATTACAATTTGGGAAATTAATCCAAATCCTGGAAGAATTAGAATATAAACTTCTGGATGACCAAAAAATCAAAATAAATGTTGATATAAAATTGGATCTCCACCACCTATTGGATCAAAAAATGAAGTATTAAAATTTCGATCAGAGAAACACCAGAGAAATATAATTCCAAATTTTCTACATCATTTTCGAATCAAAATCGAAGATGAAATTTTTACTATCGATCTTTATAAATTCAAGAAAAGTTTCGAATCGCTCGAAAGAAATTAAAGAATATCTATGAAATTTTGTCAAAGTATCCGCTACAGAGGACAATCGTTAACCACAACGTAGTTCTCTGTATCTACAAATAGATACCGGGTAGGTATTTATCGGGTGAAAAATACAGAAATGTATCCTTTAACTTGTACTTCAGCTTGTAAAACATTTCAGGATTAAGACAGGAGCGCGAATAGAAAAGTTTTCACGGGAACAACAATTGTGCTTATTCGCGGTGAAAAAGCGGCCATTAATCAGAAATACTTTAACCGACCTACTTGAGAGAAAACGCTCGACCGAATAAAAAGTGTCTAAAAAGTAATGAAGCCGATCTTTCTTTTCTTACGAAAAAAAATATATCTTCTATCCCCTTTCCTTGATAATTCTATTCAACAATGTAATTATTGTTACTTATTATTCTTCTTATTATTCTCAATTCCCAACTCTTACTGTAAAATTCATCGCGATTCTTCGAATCAATGTTTGCGTTCGAATCGAATCGAAATTGGAATTAAAAGAATCGAAGAAGATCGGAGATTTCAAGATGGCCTATTTCCTATTAGATTCCCTATTAAATATCCCCGAAATCTGTCTTTACTTTTTAAAGAATATCCCGTTTTAACCGCCGAGGCTTGTCAAAGAATGGGTCTCGAGCAACGGCGCGTTTAGAAATTATGTCACGAAGTACTTTTCCCCCTTCTACCACCCCTCTACCACCCCCTCTCAACCGATCGATCATTCCTTTCTGACATCGATCGCGAGGAATTTCTCAAGAGGGCTGCAAATGTGTTTGCCTTTCAAATTGCTTAGACCCGGATGTTCGCCGTGCGTGAAAATATGTTCCCTCTCCCTCTCCTTCTCCCTCTCTCTCTCTCTCTGAAAGTCGGTTCGATTGGGGACGGCTTCGTGCCGACTGAATTAAATCGATGGGGATCGTGATGACGAGGATCGAGGGTGGATTCGTTTAATGGATGTTGTAATGGTGGATGTAGAAAAATTGACGCGTACGATACGGACACTTTGATACTTCCAAATTATGTGTTATGATTTTGCGAAAGGGGTGAAAGGGAGAATTTGCAATAGTTATCGCGATCGAAACGAGTAAAAATTATCGGATCGTGTCGATAATACGAAGATATTTGACGAATACTTGATGAATATTTTTTCTTGTCGTTCAATGAGATTAGATATCGAGAAGATAGATTCTATCTAATGAATTGTGAAAGAGTTGAAAAAATTGATTTGTTGTAAAAAGTACCGAGCGATGAAATCGTGAAAACTGGTGATAAGATACGACGAGCATATATCTCTTAATAATCTTTGATAATCTAAATAATTCGATTCAATAGAGAAGAATTTGATCCTTTCCTGGATTTTCTTTTAATAAGTAAGAGAATTATTACTTACCTGTATAAAAAGCCAAGACGTGACAAGAGCCAAACTGCTGTACTGCCCGTTGAATCGATAATGGTAGGCATAGAAGGAGAAGTGATAGAGGTAGAAGAATCTGAAAATCAAGAATTGTATTCTCGATTAGAGAGAAGAGATAAGAGAAAGAACGGGGGGGGGGGGAAAGAGAGGGAAAAAAAAGTCGATCTTTCGTTCGAATTAAATATAAATTATTATTACGACTATTACGTATCTGTAGGCAGCCATCGATATTACGCTTAACAGATTACATAACTCCCCGATATTTACGGTATATTGGCACCCGTGCAACAACATGGACGCTTTATCGATCAGATCATATCAGGTTCCTGCCTATTGAAATATCAAGGCTGTCGCGTTACCTGGTACGTCATTAGTATGACTGGAAAATTATAAGTAATAAATCGTTTACGAATTTTTCTCGTAATTTAACCAAACAACGAACGTTGATGAATTTCACGCTATAATATTTAAATAAAAGAAGGGGGAGAGATAATTTGTAATAATAATAATAATAATAACAACAACAATAATAATAATGAAGAGAATTAATAATACAAATTTGCAGTATCAGTCGTTCAAACCGAATGTAAATATAATCAGAGGAACAATTTAATCGGAACGGAAGTTTCGTTTCGTTGTCTTCGATCTCGGCATGTTATTAATAGGAAATAATAATAATAATTGACGCGAATTTTATTACGATTATACAATTTATTCATCAATTTTTGGAAAGTTTGGTTCGCTGTTGAAAAAAAAAAAAGAAAAAAATATTCGATTCGTTATAATTTCTAATGAAATTGAAGAAAACGATCGTTTTCGATATATTTCGAATACAATTTCCATTTGTCGAAATTTTTTAGCGAAGGCTACCGATTACTCGTTTATGGGATGAATAAAATGAAATGTTTAAATCCGGGGAAAGTTTCCGATTTCGCGTCTCGAAATATCATAAAGTTCTTTTCTCTCATCGCGTCAAGGATTAATCCACCTTTGCTTTATGGTAAATAAAACATGGAAACATTTTATCTCTTAATCTTCCTCTAACTTAATTACTTGTTACGGTATTTCGTGCCTCGCCTCGTTCGATGAACAAAGTCGCGAACATTTCCTTTCATAATGGCCGCTTTGGAACTGTACGAAACAAGATTTTAATTTGTTTATTGAACAATTTACAGAGAGTAACTTATATAAATCCATTCTTAATGCGATTAGCCTCTTTCCCGACTAAAAATATTCAATTTGTTAAGTCGAATCTCGTTTAAAATCTTATTATTCTAGATTTTTCTTCTTTCGATTTCTTCCCAACAAATGCTCTTCTTAAATTTTAAGAATTTCGTAATCTCACGATTTACGAAATTACCGAAAACTTTTCCTGAAAATCCAAAATTCTCTTCATTCGAAACTCGAAGATCCTGAATCCGTCTTCGAATTTTCTTAATCTTTGTAAATTTCGCGAATCACCTTTGAATCGCTATTGCACGCCGCTGTATAAAATTGACAAAATTACAACCTATAGGTATTATAGACTCCTTAAAAAAAAAAAAAAAAAAAACTAGGAAATATAAGAGGAAAAAATGAGACGAGTATGGAAACTTTTCTCACGTTTTGCCCAATGAACATAAAAAGATCGTGGGATGACTTTTTTTACTTTCCGCCTCATCTTATAGTGGCCCTCGAGGTGATAAGGGAGGGGTTGTAATCAAGTGATTTTTACGAGTAGCTGTTACAGGCTCGGCGATATTTGCGGTTCAGGGTGAACTTGGGACTGCATCATCGGCCTTGGTGAGGGGGAAAAAAATGGTGGAAACGGCGAGAAAAATGGCTATTGCGTATCCCTTCGATAAATAAACTGACTAATTTCATGAATCGTACGCTTAAACTTTTCTAAATTTCCTCGATCCAACCGTTATTTTCCATTAAAAATACTTGTACCCGATATTTCGCGATGATTTTTGCGCCTAAAAAAACTTGTTCAACCCCGTAATTGCGATTGAACAATTTAAATAAACAATAGATAGAAATTTTGATTATATTTAAAATGAAAAGATTAAATTCATCGAGCGAAGGAACTATAAGACTCGATTCTTTCGATATCGAAAAAAAAAAAAAAGAAAAGAAAAAAAGAATTATCATCAATTTATAAATAAAAATGAAAATTTCCACATATCTAATCTAATAAAGATTAAGTTCAATAATACAATAATAACAATAAACATCGAACGAAAGCTTTTCTTTGTTTAAAAAAAAAAAAAAAAAATGATCGATGCAATACACGCGATAATTGTCGACAAGTAATAGATAATAATGTTTATTATATCAAACCGATTATCGTTATGCCTGGAGCGTAATAATGAAAACTTTATGATGAATTTAATCCTGAAGTAACTAATTTTACATATTAATGATAACCGCGTTATGGCGAAGCTGTTGCATAATTATATTTGACGTTCTGTATGAATATTAAATGTATTCAGTTTAAATAGTTATAATTAATCATATGCAACGTACCGTTAGGAAAATAAACTGTAACGCGAAAATGCTGGGAGCAGAGATCCTTAAAACGTTCCCTCCTAAATTTCTGTTATTATATAACACGTTATGAATTATTATTTATCGTATGATCACACGATATTACGAAGCTACGTCGATAGACAACATCATTTTCGATTACTTACAGTAATCTAATTTTTCGCATATTAGGATATTAAAAATATAATTAAACATTATAATTATAAAAAAAATTCAAAAGAAATTCGAAGAACAACGAAATAAAATTTCAATCGGAAGAAAATTTAGAATTAAATATATAAATTGTTTCGTTTAAAAAAAAATTGTATAAACAATATATATATTCGATATATAACTCTGTCACAGCTAATGGACGAATTAAACTTACCGTACCGTGTTCGAGATACGTGTCGATAGTCGTTACTTAAACACCGACGACGCTACTTCTCCATAAACGATTCCGTCTGAACGTGCAACACGCCCCCAAAATCTTGCACAGTGCGAATTTATGTACGTCAAGCACGGTCCAAAACCGTTCTGCATTACGTTTTACGATCCTGTCAGTCGTAAAATGCAGTTTAGGCGTCCGATCTATTCCGTTTTCGGTTTAGTACACGAGTTACACGAGCATCTAGTAGATCGAGACCGAGTTTGATCAGACCGAGGATAGTTCAAATAACGTTCACCCTATACTTAATCATAAATATCCTGTTCAGCATTTTATCTTCGAATATGTGTCAAAAATATTTCTAGATCGTGGAACACTTCTTTTTAATTTTTAAACAATGTCCTGTTTTTAACCGTGCAAATTATCACTTCTCGTACAATCTAATTTTGATAATCTGTATTTTTTTATATAGATTATATAGATTCGATCGCGAAGAGAAATTAAAATTTTTGTTATTCCGTGAAAAACAATGCTTCTCCGCTTTGTTTTAAATTTATTACAAGAAATAACGATTAAATCATTATATATCTTCTGTGATATATTGCCTTTATTAATTTCGCTGAAATCGAGCAAATACGTATATATATTTTTCTTTCTTTTTTAATTTTTAATACACAAATCGAAACAAAAAGCAGGGTGCAAAATGTTTGTTCAAACGTTTCCAAAAATTTAAATTTCGATCATTCTGTCGATGAATCGGGGAGAAGAAGACGAAGAAACGAATGGTTTCAAAGCAGAAGACACCCCGCCGGTCCACGCGTTGCTCGAACGGGGAGAAATCCGAGCATCCATAAGATAAATTCAACGTTTGCATAACAGGATAATTCGATTTTAACGTAAGCACCGGAAAGGGGAAAAAAGCATAAAGATAGAGGAATAGAGTGCGGAGGGAAGAAGGATGAGAAAGAATGCACGTTCAAAATCCCGATTTACGTATTCCGGGGACATAGCCTCTAAAGTGTCCCACGCTCGGGGAACCGCAACCATCCGACGACGATTCATACGTCTTTCCCGAGAATGGAAAAGGTAAAGAGGAGACTGGAGACTCTCCAAACGCATTCTGAATTCAGTGAATAGCGCGCAACCCCTACCCTTACGATCGCGAGAAGGGATACTTTCGGACCTTGCAGCGAGATTTTTACAAGTTGCCAACTTCCTACGGACCGGTTGCTAGGGAATTTTTCGCGCGATAAGCCCCGTCGGTAATTCGATCTACGCGAGTTCTACCAACTGATTCGCTGATCTTTCGACTCGTCCATTTTTTGTTTTCTTACTTGACAATTGTTATCGACCGATGGTCTAATTGGAAATTGAAAAAGTTATAATCGGATTTCTGATTAGAATCTCTCAGTTTTTATCGGAATAGAACAGATTAGAACGGAATATTCGTTATACGAAAATGAATTAAACCATCCGAGTAATATTATACGATATACATAAAAATTGAATAGATTACATAAGAGATTATATAAAATCATTTAAAAACGTTTATTTATTATTGCACGTAAAATATACGTATCTCACGTCAAGATCATCTTTATCAACTCGATTGCCTGATAAACACAATTTTCAAATGATTGCACGATTTATAGATGATGATAAATTTACAAGAAAGAAAGAGAAAAAAAAAAAAAGAAACATTCCAAAGATCAAAGATACTTTTAAAGCTCGTTCGAAAACTGGGAGATATCAAAATAAAGAGCGCACAAGAGCGAATTTGCAATTTGCAGTTCATCGTTCCTCCCAGCCTCGAAGATTTACGATGCAATATAGGGGCTCTCCGGGTTGGATCAGATCACGCGAAATGGATTCGCCGGGGCGTACTTTGTCTTTCGTTCTCACTTTCTCCGAGGGCACAATTCATGATAGGCCAACACATACAATGGATTTACGATACATTGGGATGGGGGGCTCCTCCTCCTCCTCCTCCTCCTCTCCCCCTATATATATATAAAAATCGTCCCGCTGAAATATCGTCGCGAGATGGAACCCTTTTATTTAATTCACTTCGGTCGGCGATCCTCGGTAATCCGAGAAAAACAAACAAACTTCTAAATACACCGGGGCGAATTCTTGGAGACAAAAGACATGGTTGCGTAACGCGGAGACGGTTAAAAGGG